TAACCACATTTTCGTGATTTGCTATTGATGTTACATATATTCGTTTCAATAATTTCAAATGGGGCTCTTTATTTTTAGCAAAAATTTTAAAGACAGTAATTTTGTTTACTTGTCGGGCAATATTTTTTTTATAAGGTTGGATCCTAGGCTAAAAACTTCTGTGGTAAAACTGTCCCTTCTTTGCTATTTAAAGTCAAAGAGTAAGCTCCTTCAATAGGGATTTCAAGCAGAAATGATCAACGTCTGGCTATAAAGAGAAGCGATGCTCAAATAATTAAAAAAACTATGGGTCTGACCTTTAAGAAGATAAGAATAACGTTACTATCTGAGATTCAAATGCTTATAAAAAGAGAACGGTGCTTTTTTTTTTTTAAATAACAATATTCTGATCCGATTCGGCTGGCAGCCACGACTTTAAAAACAGAATTTTATTGAAAATTTTCATTCCTGGAAAATAATAATTTATTTTCCCAGTTCGCTAAAAGTACACATTTGTCAAACCAACCGCAGCAGAAAGTATTAAAAATGAATTACAGAAACTAAAATCGAAAAACGCCGATGAAGTTACAGATTCCCCAAATTCTGAAACAGCCAAAGGAATGAGAATGAAGAATTCTTTTTAAAAAGCTTTATGGTGATTTCGTTTCTTCGAAAAAATGTTGCCCAACCCCGGTGCAAAATGTGTTTGATGTTACACTAAACCCTGTAAAAAAGCGTGTTTTTGCCTTCTTGTCCTTGTCTAGCTCACCCATTTCATAATATTGCCGTTCTAAACAACCATCTGATTTTCAGGGCAACCATCTTCCCTGACAAAGCTTCACGGGGCAGGGAATGTGATTTTTGCATTACAATAGTGTAACATTTTAAGAAATGAACACAAAATTTGCTCACCCTTTGCCTTTAGTTTCGAATCGAACACAAAAAGAGAAAGGAGCAATCAAAAGGCGACATTTTTTTGGTAGAAACGAAATCGCCATTAGAAAAACCTGGCATATCTCGTTTGGCTTATAAGCGCTGTTTAAACAACGATCTCGCCATTATTCTAAATTCGAATTCCTAAAAATACTTGACATCCTCATTGGCATCCGCATCCGCGGATGTTAGCTGTTAGATATTCGAATCCGCATTCCCATCCGCGGATGTCTAAAATTCCACATTCGCAACATCCCTAATCTGTAGTTACTGCAATAAAACAAACTCCTGAAGCAAATACTTGGTTAATTTATTTCCATTTTATTCCAAAATATTGGATGCGAATAATTTGCACGGGAAACTGGTACATATTTAATTTTTATTGCATTTAGAAAAGTACATCTCTGAATATCATATGACATCGATGCTATGTATAACGGTAATGCCTTTGAAGATAAAAACGCTGTTTTTGAAGCCAACAACATTTTCTTAATACACACATACATATGTATATATTTGTTTATATCATTTTCTACAGAATTGAATTCAACTAGAACGATAAACAAAGCAGCCGAAAAGTTTAGTTAAATACAATTACAAAACAATACGAAATTAATTAAAAAACGCAACAGTTACCTCCAAGTAAACCATATTAGCGAGCGTTTTATTAATCAAAGTTAATAATTAAAATACTATTTTATATCTCTATAAAAGAGAAAAATCCCGTTTTGAAGTAGGAGTATGTAAAAACTGGAGATGTTTTACTAATTTTAAAGACATTGAATTGTTATCATGCGGATCGAAATCGTCATAACTAATTCAATACACGACTGCTCATTAAATCATCAAAAAGCAATCAACGCTAACAAACTAACGCTAACTAAACATCGCTATCGTTGTTAAGGCCTTTTGACTACGGGACGAAATCGTAATTCATATAGCCGATACGAACTGTCCGTTTTCACTTTGATTTATAAGCAAATTTAAAATTTGATTTGTAGAAAATAAAGCCAAATCGGTAAAGCGACACTATTGAACCAAAAATTATTACTGAATGCTTCCATTGACATTCAATGCAATTGATCAATAACTCAGTAAGAATTGTCTAAACAAAGATGGATGTTATATATGGACGGCCACATACCTATGTATGTAACAAGTTTGTTGGAAAAATATAGAATGTACCTAAGAACAGCAAACGCAAATCTGAATATTGACGCTCGGCTTCTCTTAAATTCGCCTACACACTTCTTAAATGATAATGATAAACTACATACATACATAAACATGTACTTAATACTGAAGGAAACATGATGAGCTTGGAGTTAAGAGATTTGAATATATACATACATATGTACATAAAAACTCCATGCGGATTTCGGCTTAGCTTATAAATACCATGTACATACATCCATAAATACTCAATGTGAAGAGGACTACTCGATGAACATTTCTCAAACCGTGTCGGGTATTTCGTCAATTACTGTAGTTCGAAATACTCGTAATGTAACGCTGGTGATTGCATCTTTACAAATTATTCATAAGAGTAAAAGTAACTTTATGTCTAATTCGCAATTAAGTAATACAAAAACACGTAGAAAAAAGTTTTTCGAAGTCACAACAAAATCAAAGGTAAATATTTACACAAGAAATTATAACAAAATTAAACACGTATGCATCCTTATGTATATACTTGGATGTTCGTTAAACGTATGAGTAGTTAGTAAACACTATATATGTATTAGTTATTCTTTGTTGCTTTGTGTTTTTAACCGACTTCACAAAAAGGAGGAAGGTTATCAATTCGTTACCGCATAATAATTTCAATAAATCTTTTTTTAAAGGAAAGGAGTTACCTCACAGGTGGTCCCATATTAATTTGGTTTAAATCCGATCATTATATCATAAAGAAGCATCGAGAGCACTTCATTTCAAAGTGATATTGTTTTCCACTTATGTTCATTTATTTATTTTTAAGAATTTTCGTTAAAATAAAGTTCATTCTCTGAAGAAGTCCATATAAATCCAAATTTGAAACTTTGTAGAAAACTAAAAAAATCTAAAAATGTTCATCCAAATGTCAAAATTATTTTCTCAGAATTTTTTGAGTATATAGATTCAAGTGGCTAAAAATTTCCGTTGTTGCGGTTTTCTTCCATATAAAAATAAATTGTGTTTATTCGTTATATGGTAGCGAATGCACTACCGGATCACACTAAAATTGAATCGGCTATAAAGCTTCATACTCAAAAAATTTTTAACACTTTTGAGTAAATAAATTTGAAATTTGAATGAAAATTAGTTGATTTTTTTTTAGATTTCTACAAAATTTTAAGCGTGGGTTTATATGGTTTTTTTAAATGAACTTTATTTTAGTTGAAATTGAACATACTGAAAACAAAATTTCAATGGTTAACCATAAAACAATATGAATTGCATAAAGCTTAAAGGGGAAAAATGCCGTTAAAAAAAGAAAAGTGGATGATCTCCAGCAAATGATCACTAAACGCTATATACCGTCTGAATTTCATGAATTTTATGATAGAATTATAGAAATATAAAATAAGCACTTGAATTTCCAATATAAATTATGCTTTTATGATTTAGTTTAAACCCTAAATGTACTACTCTTCCACGCAAATAGTGAAATGTGCTACTATTCCACGTGAAAATCTGAAATGTGCTAGTCTTCCACGCAAATAGTAAAATGTGCTACTCTTCCACGCAAAAATCTGAAATGTGCTACTCTTCCACGCAAAATTCTGAAATGTGCTACTCTTCCACGCTAAAGGTCTGATTATGCATACTTCGCATAACTTCGCGCAACCATTTGTACCAGTGCAATAAAAATGTAACTTAAGAAATCGTGCAGCAAAATCTAGACTAAACAGATCGCTAAGTTTTTGAAAAGTTCTGCTAATTTCTGGGTAATGGAATGCATACAAAATACATACAAAGTGCATACGAAATTACAGTTTGAAGTTTATGCGAAGTTGTGCGAAGTATGCATAATCAGACCATAATAGTGAAATGTGCTAGTCTTCCACGCGAATAGTGAAATGTGTTACTCTTCGTAGGGACCGACGAAATAATGTCAGGAGCAGGTAATAATGTACCTTTGTAAATTTAAATCTATTAAATACATTCTAGCGTGTCTCAGTCCTTTGCTCACAAAAGCGGCTATCAGTTTTTTTCTATTCGAATTCATTGGCACCTTTCTGAAATCTTTATTAAATGAAAAATTTTTTTATGTAATGTAAAGTTATAGCTCAGTACATTTTTTTTCACCAGAGATAGTGAAAGTTGGGGAAGAAAATATCAAAAAGTTAAAAATCCCAAAATAGTCATAATTTTATGATGGTTCCTTAATATATTTTAACTATATTGCATTTGAGTATGGAGAAGTAACAATCTGGAAGTATTTTACATAAAAAATTTACTAAGTATAGCCTGGTTTGTAGATGCAGTGAAAAAACATACATGAACAGGCACGATTTTTTTAATTAAAAAAATGTAAATATTTCAAAAACGGTACCACTTTTACCTGAAAATTTTTTTTTTTTCAGAGAGCTCACACCCCACCTACCTTCCTCTAAAGTTTGGCAGGTTACTTCTGGGACACCCTGTATAACTAAATATGTGTTTTTTTTATTAATGGATGTGCAATATTTTTGAATGTATTTGTTGTACTATAAAAGATGTTGATATTATTGTACTAATACTTAATGAAAATAAATGAAAAACTAAAAGAAATTTGAAAATTGTCAAACAGCGTATTTTGCATTGAAGGTGACGAGATATGGTCTTATTTGAATAAGGAAGTTTATCGTACTTAGAAAATAAATTAGTTTTTACTTAGGGATCAATTGGCAAAGCAACACGTTAGTAATATCAGTATTTTGTACTTACTCGTAGTTTTTCCGTAAAATTCATTAAAATTTATCAGATGTGTAAGTATGAATCTTTAACACGCACTCCATATTGAACTTGGGATGTTCTCCTAATTTTAGGGGGTTTCTTTGTTTAAAATACTTTTTAATGGCTTCATGATTAACTATTATTTTTAAAAATTCCAACTTGTCCTACAGGATGACGAAGATGATTACAGTGGTCTGGCTTTAGGAGGACCTGTGAGAACACGAAGTGACTTTTCGGATGAAGATGATGAAGACGATGATCGGCCTGTAACAATGCGAAGCTCCCATCTCCGTTTGAATCTTTCTAACGCTGCAGCGACTTCGTCGAATCATCTAAATGTGCCAACTAGTAAACGCTCATTCAAAGTGGAAGTGTTCGATTTGTAAAATACTTATAAAAGTTTGGATGTAAATAGGATTTAAGAAATTGTAATTTATTTTTCTTTTATTTCTGCTTCATTATTGCCGATATTATTTTTCTTAAATTTTTAGAAACATTTACTCGCAAAGCCCTACCTGGGTAGTCTGCTGTGTATACATAAGTAGAATATGAACCAAAAAGCTTCGGTTGCTAGAAACTATTTCATTATATAAAAGTTACATTCATTAAGAAATTAATATTATTAGCATAAAAATTGCATGCACACATTTATATGCAAATCGGGTCTAAAATATGCCACAAAATAACTTAATTTTACATACATACATATATGCAAACCTCTGAGTATTCACTTTTTCCTTTCTGACAGATTAAATGGTTCTATGGCCTCAAGAATGATAGAATACAAGATTGCGCCGATCAGATTTTTGAGAATAACTTTTATGTGACGTCACACTGGTGCAATTGCGAGAGAGAAAGGCCAAAACGTGAGCAAGAATGGAAGAAGAAGAAAAAATGTTGCCAGGAAAACGTAAACAAGTTGCACCAGTGTGACGTCATGTAAACAACGATTCTGTCAAATTCGTTAAGAGAGGAATAGCGGTCCGAGATCGGCGCAACCTCTGTATTCTCTCAATCATGCTATGGCCTATACCAGTGGTCTGCGCTTCATACCACATTTAGGGACGATCACTTCACACGTATTCTTAAGTTCTGAACACACTGAAAACGACAACTGCGGGCAACAGCTTCCAATTTGTTATCTTCATTATCTAAACACTTTGTCTATGACGACCAGTGTTGCCGTTTTAGACCTTTGTTGGCTAGATTTAGCTACCACATACCTTTTTTGGCCACGTAAATTTAAAATTACCCCTAGCCCCTTTTTAGCCCTTTGGAGAATTTATTCATACATGGCGTGAAAAAGTTGTATATGCTTAATTAGGTTTCATTTTTCTCATTTAAGTAGGAGATGAATATTTAAACTAAGAAATATACATGTATATATTGTATGTTCCTTACGTTTTTATACATACATACTGTAAAATAGTTAGGGCTGTTAACTTATCTATTAACGATTTAACTATAGTTTAAAATAGATAAGTTTACCGCCCTTAATATGCATAATTTGTTAAATGGCCCATCATATCGATTGACCGTGTATGTTCTTGTGGTGTGATTGTACCAGCTGCTGGTGCGACTTCAAAAACTATTTGAAAATTTTATGATCGTACCAGCATGCTGGTGTCATGAGTGGTGAAATTAGCAAAATTTTCTAAGTAAAGAATATCTTGGCGGAAATTTCCTGCACTATATGAGTCAAAGCCGTGTTTGTGGAAGTTAAGTTCGCGATATTGCAGTTGTGAATTAAAACAAAAAAAAAATTTTTAACAAAATGGTAGAAAATTTGTGAAATTTCGGCTCTAATCATTTCGATCTTTCTTCGACCTCATTTGTAAAGAAATAAATATTGTACCATATATATAATATTGTATTGTAAGTTATATGCTTCGAGCCTGATGGTACGATCACTTTATGGAGACAGCAAGCTGGTGTCGTATATTTCCCCTTTTATACCAAAACGTTTAGCTTTTTACCCAGTGTTCATTGTTTTTCTATACCATTACTTATTTAAAATGTTTGCGTGTATACTTATGTATATATGTATATGTAAGTAAAAAATTGTAGCTACCATTTTTAGCCACAACGACTTTTTTAGCTTTTTTAGCCCTTTTTTAAAGGAATTTAGCTACCACTAAAAATGATTCGCGGCAACACTGATGACGACATGATTATTTTGAACGCGGCAGTGATTGATTTGTATGAGTTTGACATAAAAGAAGAGGAAGAACCTTATCTGTCGCTGGAAAAATAGAAATAGATCTAATCTGGCCACAACCACAGTCGTCGCGTAGCCCGGTCGTCGCCAAAATAATTATCTACATAAGAGTACGTGTTAAACTAATTTGACAGCTGTGGTCCGTAGCTCGTCGTTTTCATTGAGTTCGGGCTATCACGCTCTATCTTATAGCCCAGTTATGCATACTTAACTTTGCATGAGAGTTGTCACATAAGAACCTGTTAAACGGGCTTTGCGTGTAAACGGTTACCCAACGCATAGCACTTAACATGTAGAATTCTGTTGGGTTTTTTTTTACGTAAAAATGGTAAAGCAGTGCAAGTGTGCATAACTGGGCTATTAAGGCTCTGTTATGCATACTTGGCATTGCATGCACTGCTATACCATTTTTACGTAGAAATCAAAAACCAACAGACTTTTACGTATGTAATGCTGTGCGTTGGGTAACAGCTTACACGCGAAGCTCATTTAACAGATTCCTTATGTGACAACTCTCAAGCAATGCCAAGTATGCATAACAGAGCCTTTAGTCGTTAGCGAGACAGCAACGTCAGTATATACAGTAGTAAACCTTTTTGAGTACTCATCGGGGGTAAAATCTGGTCAGGGTTGATAATGAGAAGGAGCATGCATTTTGTTCATTCAGAGTTGTATAGAAAATTACTGTGGCAACAACCGTAATATGGTAGAGTGGCACCAGTCATGACTGTGTAATAATTAAATTAATTGCAAAAGTGACAAAACATTGCAAATTATTGTCTATTATTATAGATACTAGTACAGATTATCATAGTTCAGTGTATAACTTGTTATATTACACCATACATGGTAATGAACTGTTAAATGCTGAAAACGCTTATAACTTGTGTGGGTGTGCTTAATGAACTTTCTGGGCGGATGCGCTGGCAGGTATTGTGGTCTGTATAACTATATAAACCTTGTTTTTTTTTTTAATAACAACTTAAATATATTCGGAAATCTAGAATTTTGCTTGATAAATTCACAACATTTACGTTTTTCATAAAAATATAATCTTATATCTTGTTTTTAATCTTAAACNTTAGTCGTTAGCGAGACAGCAACGTCAGTATATACAGTAGTAAACCTTTTTGAGTACTCATCGGGGGTAAAATCTGGTCAGGGTTGATAATGAGAAGGAGCATGCATTTTGTTCATTCAGAGTTGTATAGAAAATTACTGTGGCAACAACAGTAATATGGTAGATTGGCACAAGTCATGACTGTGTAATAATTAAATTAATTGCAAAAGTGACAAAACATTGCAAATTATTGTCTATTATTATAGATACTAGTACAGATTATCATAGTTCAGTGTATAACTTGTTATATTACACCATACATGGTAATGAACTGTTAAATGCTGAAAACGCTTATAACTTGTGTGGGTGTGCTTAATGAACTTTCTGGGCGGATGCGCTGGCAGGTATTGTGGTCTGTATAACTATATAAACCTTGTTTTTTTTTTTAATAACAACTTAAATATATTCGGAAATCTAGAATTTTGCTTGATAAATTCACAACATTTACGTTTTTCATAAAAATATAATCTTATATCTTGTTTTTAATCTTAAACTCACATTTAAGAAGACTCCATTCAGTGCTATAATTACGATTTTAGTTTTCCAGTTTATAAAACACAAACGTTACTTATGTACTTAACTATCGATATTATTCTTTATTAAGCATGAATATCAGCATACTTTAAAGATGAATATTATACTTAACCTACATTTTGTTCATAAATAACACATAATTATGTATATTTTATCCTCGAAAAGAACTTTTCTAATCATGAGGCGAAATTCCCCACAGTAAGTGTTGCCGTGCGCGCAAAACGAAAACGCTGCACACAACCCAAAAGTACTCCTCGGGGACCAAATGGTGAAAAGCTTCGAAAAGGTTTATTACTGTGACTGCAACGAATCAACATCACCGGTAGGTGCTCTGCTTTGTTTATAGGAATGTTCGATATTTAAGAAAGATCGATATCTTGAATAGATGTAATTCATTGCATGTAAAATCGATATGGCGATATATCGGGTTGAACAATATCGATATCGGAAAAATCGATGTTGCAAATCTTACTCCCAACTGAATAGAATATTAGACCTGCCTATCAAGTCACCTAATTGTGTTATTTCCATCTTGTATATTTACTGAGGATTAAAACGGCATGCCGGACGACTGTATTGTCAAAGAGGGAATGAAACAAGACAATAAGTCTAACGGTGGCAACGAGTTAAGAGCCGTATACACCATGCAAGCGGTTTGTCAAACTTAAGAGCTACATAAATCACAAAAGCTGCTGGTTAAATCTACTTTAGACTTTTCCCATACACTTTTTTGTAGATGAAAAATAAATTTCAACTTAAATATCGATATTGCGGGTAAAGTATCGATGTCGTCGATATATCGACCTGGGAATATCGATTCAAACAACCGATTATCGCACCATGAAATATCGATATTCAGAATAATCGATACGATATCGAACATTCCTATTTGTTTATTAAATACCAAGATGCCTTGCGAGAAATATGTATGTACATACATACATAAGTATACTGAAAATTTTTTTGGTGGCATACAATACCTTTTGAGTTGTACGTCCTTTAAAAAAACTAGGGCATATGATATTAAAACAAATTTTTACAATACATTTCACAATGAAAAATTTTGATGAACATGAATTTCAATAGATATTGACGCGGGTGAATCCAAACGAATTTTTTATTTGAGTTTTTATGTATGTACATACATATCACTCCATTACTTCAAATACTGTCATAACTCAAAAAACTAAAAACTCGAGAAAAATGTTCTGAATTTACATATACTCCCAGGGAAAAATTAATACACATCTTGTTCTAATGACTACACGATTAACGCAGAACGGGAACTGACCCTCTGGTAATCGTTACAGCTATGCAATTTTTACAAATCATAAGAAATAAGTAACGCTCATTTTTGCATACTTAGCTAGATTTTTGGCTTTTTTTTGGATTATGACACTTTTCTAGTAAATGAGCGATGTACACATACATACATATTGTCACCTGAAATGCAAAAAGACGTAAGAAAAGTCATCACTGAAATGGAAAAAGTCGTGAGTAATATGTTTTTCATAAAACAAATAGGGGAGTTGTAATTCGATGAAATCCATCATATCAATCAAAACGTGAATTTTGAATTTTTTATGAGTTACGACTTTTTGCATTTCAGCGACGGTGTTTCTTAGATCTTTTTGCATTCAGGTGATGATGTGTGCTAAATATATATATTTATATGTTTTTACTAAAGCCTGATGCGTTAATAATTTAGTTTCACTTCTCGTAATTTCCTACTGGGTTGCTCATGCGAAGCGGTTCTCTTGTGCTCACCAACACAGACACAGTTTAACTTTTGCCGACCACTGGCCTATCCCAGCCAGCAAAAAATCCGAAAA